CAGTGGTTTAAGTACTTGCAAGCATTTATTACAGCATTATTCAAGCTAGACTCAGTAAAAAGAGTCGTTTGGCGTGGTATACGCGATGTGAATTTAAGTCAAAAGTATAAGACAGGAACTAAATGTGATTGATGGAGAGTGAGCAGTTGCACAACAACGCTAGTCGTATTAGAAACATCGGATTTTTTAAGTGAAGGTGGAATAAGAACACTCTTCTTGATTCAACGTATCAACGGCAAGTCGATTAAGGAACATTCGTATTTTAGTGATACGAAAACAGAAATTAGTATGATGCCTGGTACCTTCTTCGAGAGTATCGGTCAAGAGGATGCAAGATCAGGTCTTCATATTATTCATTTGAAAGAAATTCAACCTTTATTTCAATCGATTAAGCCATCTTTTACCAAGCACAACATCATCAACTAGGTGTTGGTAAGTACCGAGAATGATTGAATATATTTCGATAGCTCTTCGAAAACTAGACCATAAAGCTAGAAAGCTTTTGAACACATATTTCGCCAAGCCATCGAAGGCTGATAGAGTAGTACATTCTCCCAAGGGACCATACTGACGTGAAGATTTGATCGAGATTTTGAATTCTTAGTGGATTCTCTTCGTATGAACCAAACTTTTTGATATAATTCTGTTGTTGAATTTTAATCTGAAAATTGTTCCTAAGTGAAGTTCTTAGTGAGACTAACATACATAGTTTGGAAAGTGCACACATCAGAGATACTCGATCGAACAGTCTAAAATTTTGTACATAAGCCATTCTTACTATCACCTTTATTTGGGCAAAGTTTTCAGGCCAAAACTCAGCAATCAGTTCTGATGAAAAAATCGAATCTATACAGGAAAGAGGGTTGGGAAACTTTGCCATCGGTGACAAAAATGATTCTTCCAAGCGAAAAAAAGATGCTCAGCACAAAAATGATCGGCTCCTAACAAAATGACAGTAATGCTATTCTGCATGGGAAAATGATTAGCAATAATGGCATAACGACTATGACAAGTGGCAAAGTGATGCTAATAATGACTATAACAAGAGGAAAAATGATTTTCTGTTATAGTTATATATATTTTTTCATCAGAGGAAAGATGAAAATCCACGAGAATAATGCTTTTTTTCATAGAAAAAATGATCTTTCATATCTAATGACATACTTACCGATATTTTTGGTAATAGTTTTACCTATGGTGATGTTGAAAACTTTTCAAAACGCTCAATTCTCTGCCCAAGAAACGAAGATGTTCGATTAATTAATGAACGCGTTTTGATAAATTTAAAAAATGTTGAACAAATGAGTTTTTACGTGATTGACTCTGTAAAAAATGATGATGGTGCAGAAGATCATGATTTACAAGTCAATATTCCAGTAGAATTTCTAAATACTTTGAATCCATCTGGATTACCACCATATAAATTAAATTTAAAAATTGGTTGTATAGTGATGCTTTTAAGAAATCTGTCGGTAAACAAAGGCTTATGCAATGGAACTAGAATGATTGTTAGAGACTTTCGTCAAAATGTGCTTCAATTAAAAATTATTACTGGTTCATTTTCCAGAACTGTTCATTTTATTCCTAGAATTTCTCTGAATACATCGAATGATCCAGCACTTACATTCAATTTCGTTAGATATCAGTTTCCAGTTCGTCTTGCATATGCGATGACAGTAAAGAAGTCTCAAGGTCAAACTTTTGATAAAGTTGGCCTCTATCTTCCTGAACCGTGCTTTTCTCACGGTCAGTTTTATACAGGATGTTCAAGGGCAACCGAATCTAATTGTTTAAAAATTCAAGTACAAGATACCACTAGACGGGGCAAATGGATAACGGGCAAACTGTAACGGATAACGTTGTTTATCGAGAAATCTTTTCGGGAATCCCATATTTTTAATTTTATGAGTTTATAATTTTAGCAATATATTTAAATTTAATACATTGAACAGTAGGCCAAACTTTTTATTAAACGAATTTTTCCTATAATATTTAAGTTCAACTCTTTCACAGGGGGCCTCTAGTGTTCATAAAATGCAGAGAAATTCTACGTGTTAATAATAGATATTTAAGAAAAGTAATCATTCGTATCTACCAAATTAGAAACATTTCATTTCACATGTGTTTTTTTTTTGAGAAAAATAAAATTTCATCACTATTTTTCAATCTTGCAGTTCGTTTTAGTAATAGGAATCGGAATCTAGAAGTGTTTCTGATTTAGGAGAAAATATTATTTTGTTTTATTATTAAGTCTAGCAACAACGGACCATCTGACCTAATATTTTCTATAGAAATCTTCACCCATAGAATATATATATGTCAAAATATACCAATTTTCATTATCAACTAATCTGAAAAATATAATAACCAGGGTAATATTCGTGATGCCAATCTACTTCTGATTACCCTATTTCTTACTTTAATGAATAGGGAAGACCCATGGCACCTTGTAACACCCATAGGTTGAAGAAGTGAAAATGTCCGTACAAAAAAGCAAAGCCACATAATAGTTGACACAGAAGTTAATAATAGTGGGACGTAGTATTTGTTTCTATATGATACATATCAATACTTTCTTTCGTACTTAAGTAAAAGTAAAATACTTTTACTTAAGTACGAAAAAAATTATTTGATAGTTTTACTTGAAGTATAATTAAATAAATTTTGTCAGTAAGATGGGCAACCACTGATAAGATATTAAAGATTCTCATGACATCATCTTTCGAGTACGAGTACTTGTCCAGCTGTGTTATATTAATGCTCAATATTGATGACAAAGTCTTGTATATTGCATACGTTATTAGAACAAAACGAATAAATTTAAAAGAAAGATAAGAAATCTAAAATAATTCGTCATTGTTGTATCATATACAACAACAAAGAACAAGAATATTTATCAACGTCAAATGTTGCTTTATGACGAAGTGAAAAATTTCTTTTGCAACAAATTGTAAACTCTCTATCGAAACAGTCGAAAATAGAGAAGATGGAGGACGACGAACTTTTTCTTTGTACTACTTGAAGATGATGACAAATAGGGACAAGATAAAGTTTAATTTTCCAGATAAGTTGATAAATCCAGTTGGCAAATCAATCATTGACGACCACTCGTCTCGCAGTGCAAGGTCAACAACAGGTAAAGCGAACTATTAAGCTCCATCATCGCCGTTCATAATTCAACTGATAATGTATCAGAAACTGAGCAACAACAAGAAGATCATTTGAAGCATGAATTTGTACTTGAACATAGCGCCGCAATCAGAAAAGAGCGGGGTCAAAGTTGGAACTGGTCCGGTGCACACATTATAGCAAGCTGGTACAGAGTTCATAATAGAATACCACTTTCAACTTGATAACAATTGAATTTGTCAATATTCATCCCTTTTTTCACTCGGTTCAATGATCAAGTTTAACAAGATGAGTGATGTGAATGTGCTTTAAGAAAAAGAAGCATATAAAATCAAAAGTCTCACCACTAAGTGGGCATTACCACTCCTCTTCTCCTAAATTCTTTATCTGAGACTACTTGAATACTAGTAGTTTTTGGGAAAATCTTTTTCAGATAAGTTTGATTATGGCTCAGTTGGATTCAGCTCTCGAAGATCATACTACTAAAGAAAATGGTGAATCAATCGTTGTTGTAGATGGACAGAAGCTGAATGATATGAGACGACGACAGTTTTGGTCACTAAACAATGTTCGTGTCCATTGGACTGATCCTTTATTTCGTAAAATGTTATGGAATATTCTGTTATTATCATGGTCGTGGAGTCTTGGTGAAGGCATATTTTTCATTCAAATAAGCACAACTACAGTAGCAGCTACAACTTTTGCCAATTGGTATCTAGCAACAGTGCCTATTGGCACTATGCTCTGTATTGGTACTATTTGGTCCGCATTTTTACCACGAGCCATCGCTCGTTTTGGCTATCGACTGCCATTCTATTTCGGTGCACTGATGGGCATGATCGGAACTGGACTTTGCATTGTGGCAACATGGTATAAACACTACTGGTTGTTAATAGTAGCCGCTGGATTCATAGGTGGACAGGTACCGTGTACATTGTACTACCGTCTAGTAGCATTACAGTTTTCGAGCAAAGAATTTGCTCCAAAAGCAATTGCGATGGTTGCTGCTGGTGGTTGTCTGTCTGCTGTTTTTGGGTAAGTTTATCATTATTATAAAGATTATTTGATGACACTTTTCTGCTATATTTCGAAAGAAAAAGAGTAGATATATAGAGACATAGGTACTAGGTTCAGACTACTTTCGTTCATCACTATTCTTAACTCTGGTTACCTATCTGAGAGTGTGCAAGAGGAGTGTCAGAGTTTCTATTTTGTTCATAAGTGTTATTTTTGTGTTATTGTAGACCAGAAATAGCCAAACATGTAGTAAATGCACTACCAAAGCCCTACAGCGGTTCTTATTTAGTTGCATTGGTTGAATGTATGCTAATTCTAATTACTATGAGAATAATCCAATTTCCCGACGTTAAAAAAGCACACAATACACTAGTATCCAGTTCTTTATCAATGATCGCGGACAGCAATCCTACTAAAACTGGTCGTTCAATATTTACGATAGCTAGCCAACGAACATTTCTAATCGCTGCTCTTGGTGGTTTTGTTTCATGGTCAGCAATGGCCATTCAAATGTCTGCTACACCAGTGGCAATGACTGGTGCTGGACACAAATTTGTTCAAGTGACAGCAGCTGTTCAATACCATCTATTGGGTATGTTTGCACCATCATTTTTTACTGGAACTCTATGTAATTGGTTTGGAAGTCGGCTGGTGATGTTAACTGGCTTTTTGATTGAATTGACGGGGACACTATTATTTCAACGTGGCTTTGAAGTTGGACATTTTAATTTGGGTTTGATTATTGTTGGTGTTGGCTGGAATTTGGGCTATGTTGGAGCATCAGTATTGTTAACGAAATCCTATCGACCAGAAGAAAAAATCAAAACACATACATTGTTTGAAGTAATAGTGATGATTAGTATATCAATATCATTCTTTTCATCGGCATTTGTAGAACAATTTATAGGATGGATGCTTTTAACTGGAAGATTGGTTACCATCTATCTATATGCAGCGATCTTGATATTGGTCATAGATACAACATTCGTATTTTATAAAACTAAAAGCATAAGAACAGAAATAACAACTAATGACAAAGAAGTAGAAATTCCAGTATTAACTATAGAAGCAGCATAATTGATCATATCTAAGAATAAATTCATTTTCTACCATTTTATTACATTGCAATTTGAAAGTAAAACAGCGTTGTAGCTGCATCTCATACATGTATCTTCAACTGTTTCACAAATTTGTACATAGCATGTCAATAGACTTGAATTTTTCAACAATGAGTGGATAAAGAGATACTAGATGTGAAATATAGTGTATGGGTCACTTTATCCATACTTAACACACTGAAATTTTGTTTAATGTTTTCCGAGAGAAATGTTCAATGAAATTGATATGTATGAATGATACGATTTCCTTCGTTGTTGGCTTAGGATTCTTCACAAATGACGATGGGCATTTGTTGTTGAAGATACTCTCGGGAGCACATTAACTTGCTCTTGTTGTAGAATTTTGCATTTGCAATGGAAAAATGTATATTGAAAACAGACAAATGAAGAACCGTCACACTGTTATAAAACAATTGCATTATGGTGTCAGAATGGCACTAAATAGATAGGATTCATTGGTTTTTTATTGTTCAATATAATGAATTTTGTTTCTGTCTTTAATTGACTAAATTACAAGAGCCAATTATATGCATCGAATGACTAAATCAACATTTGCTGAAATGATGTTCAACTGCTTCACAAAGAGTTTCAATGATTAAGATCACATAATAACTGATCAAAATTACCAAGGGAACTTTACTCAAAGTTAGGAAGAAAATAGAATCTATCGAATTTGCCCTATGAAAGATGCCCTTGCTTCATCAACCAATTACCATTATCACTGGTATCATATTAACAGTAGTCACAGCTTTCTTATCGGCAAGCATGATATCAGCAACATGGTATCTAAGATGAAATAGTTTTAAAAAGATAAATGTTTTCTTTTGAGGAAAGTTTTGAATACAATTTCTGCGAAATCTATATATGAAACACGATAGAGATGTTCTTTTGAAAAATCAGAAAATAATCAAATACAGTACCTAAAAAAAACAAATGCTCAAAATTTCTCCATTAATTCAAATAAAAACAAATCTCATACCACACTTCATCATATTCTAACGAAACAATTACAAACATCATTGATACAATATAAAAATCTTTCCTACGACTATGAACAGGAGGACTGAACGTGTTTTCGATTCTATCATATACGTGACGAATAATTTTCGTATAATATTTTCATTATATACTTAAACACGTTTTAATAGTGCCATTTCATGAAAGAAAGGAATTAATGACAAATAATGCTGAAGACAATATTGATTAGGTCAAAAGTAATGGCGCGTCTCGTACAATTATTTTGTGTCACTAAAATTTTATGTTTAGAAATAAAAAAGCTTGTCAGCGTAACCCCTTGGGGGCCAAAACGCGGAACTCACTAAGGTCTGTAATGGAAGTGTCTGTAGAGAGGGAAGCCGGGAAGCTGGGGTGTGGGTGTGGGTGTGTAGGTGTGAGTGTAGATGTGGGTGTGGAAGTGTGGAGGTTTGTGTAATCCTTCTTGCAACGCAGCCCCCCCCCCCCCCCACACACACACACCCACACCCACCCACACTCACACACACACCCAATTTATGTATAAATAAATAACTTAAATAACTTAAATAAAACTAAGCTGCTGTTAAAACTAATCTTTCTTTCAATGTTGTTATATTATACTCTTCAATGATAATTGTGAATGTGCTAACATCACGTGATCCGAATAACCGATTACGAAGAGGATTATAATAAAGAAAATGATAATCACCATTCTTCAAAAGCCATTTACTTTGTTTACAAATTTTCGTATTCATATCGAATGCAATTAAAAGTAAACGTTGAAATGCAGTAGCATATTCGACAGGCATATATATTATTGGAGATGTAGTATGCGTGATAGCTATCGGTCCCGATATAAAAAAAATATAATATTGTGGTATTATCATCAATATTAAATGAGAAATTTGAGTAGAATGCAAATGATGATGACTCGGGATCGTAGGAATATATACTTCCATAATGTGGAATTCTATTAGAAATTGAAAAAGAATCAAATCAAATTCGAAAATAATATTCTATCTATACGTTTGCAACGGTCTCACAGCGTAATAGTTAGCTGCTGCTGATAAACTAAGATTTACACCGAAGAGAAGAACAAGTCCAAAGAGCATCACTTGCAGTTGATGTATCATTCAAAAAATAACAATGTTGCCTTCTTATCTTGTTACACAACAAGATAAAATGTGTCTCACTTTGTAATACAATATACGGCACATTTAATTTTAGTGTGTGAATCAAACTATTTTTTTCCTTGGGAGATATATAATAATCGCTCTTGTTAAAGTTTATTACATGAATAGCAATATGTTGTACACAAATGACTTTAAGTTGAAATCAAGCTAAATCTTGACCAGCACATTCACGATGACTACCACCGAATGAAAGCGTTGCTGCTTTATTGTTATTATTGATTTTGGTAGATTCATTAAGAAATCGTTCTGAATAAAAATGATCAGGATTTTTTCAATAGCATGAATCTCTTGCTAGATTATAGAAGGAAATGAATATCTGTTTGTCTTTTCTCAATTGAAATCCATTATTTGGTAATCGATCATCAATAGTAACTGTTGGAAAAGAACTGACTGATGTTGGTGCAAAACGAAAAACTTTCCGAATAACATAATCTAAATAGATGAGTGAATTAAGTCTAGACTTGAGGATGTTTACTCATCAAATAAATGAACCAAGAAAGCGTGAAAGACCTATGTTGAAAATAACAAAATTCTTTTGTTAATATAAAATTCGATATATCTTTCTTGTTTTCTTTGGATTTTGTTGTTTCGATTGTTTCGTCTTGTTATAGTGAAGAAACCAGTGAAACAATTAAACTTGTTTGCTTACGTTGAGCTCTTATCTCTGTTGTTTCTGCCAATTCTTGTTCAGTCATTCGTTTTATATATTGATTAAATATGCCTGATGATTGTTGGCATTTCCACAATTCTCAGTAGTGTATTGAGAAATGTATCCATAGCACGAACAAGTTCTTTGTTTTCCGTTTGACATTAATCGTGAAGAGTTTGTAAATCATAGTCAAAGGCAATGAAATCAAATATAGAAAGTAAAAGTTGGTGGATTTTTTCATTAATATTCAAATGAATTTTAATCGGATCATCAATTTAATGCCATTGAGCTAACAATTCATCTGTACAATCGATAATTCTATCGAAATGCATACGAATTTTGTTGTCACGAAACAATAGATAACTGAGAGTTGCGTGACACTTGTATTTAGCTTCTGAAAGGCAAAGAATCTTTTTTCTGATTTGAGGATCGAACTAGAAATGGACAGGACTAGCCTTCCTTAGCTCCGGTTCGGATAGAGAAAAACAGTAAAAAATGCAAAACGTCTCTTCATTTTGATTCGTGTGTAGAGGCGATCTGATTTTTTTAAGTGTGTCATTGAACAGAATTGGGGTCCTACAGAGCTATAGAGCGCAATGATTCTTGGTTTGAGTTGGTCTTTTCAGGGTGAAAATAACCAGAAAGAGTTTTACTCGAGCTTAATCACAGATCCGATCGGATTTAAGAACTGTTGAATATATGATGAGTTGGATGAAAAGAATGATTGATTTATTATTCGAACTTTTTAAGCATACGATTAAATTTGGATTGATACTAGTGAGTTTTTTTTGACAAAAACGTCTACTCGAGAAAGTTAACGACAATGATACGTGTAGAATTAAGTCAAAATCGAAAAACATCACCAAATTTGTCTTTCAGATTGAAAAACACTTCCGACATGGATTCATCTCGCTAAATAATAACCTGTCTGTAACAAATCTCCAAAGAGAAATTCAGATGAAATACCAAGTATTGAATCACATAATGTGAAATAGATATTTTTTTATGTAGGAATATAGAACTGTTAGAAATATAGGAGAACGACGACGACTATAATCGGTACTATGTCCGTCTCTGCTTTGATTTTTTGTGAATATATTGCTTACCAAGCAAACAAAAAGATAAATTTTCATTCTTTTTTTTTCATTTATCTAAAGTCCCGAAGAGGCAGCATGTCAGCACAATCTAATCAAGTGAAATTCTTTTTCTTTGTCTCTTTAATATCAGATCTGCGAATTCGTTTCATTCACACCATCATAAAACTTGATATTTTCTTTTTTCTTTTTTCTCTTTTCTTTCCTCTTCTTTGTGGGTGTGTGGGTGTGGGTGTGGGGTGAGTGTAAGTGTGGTGCGGGTGTGGGTGGCTGGGTGTGAGTGTGGATGTGGGTGTGGGTGTGTGGGTGTGAGTGTATTTCCTTTCTCTTTACACCCACACCCACACCTCACACCCACACACTCACACCCATACCACAGCCACACCCACATCCACATCCACACCAACACCCACACCCTCACCCACACACCCACATCCACATCCACACCAACACCCACACCCTCACCCACACACCCACACCCACACACCCACACCCAGAGAAAATTCATACCCATCACAGACCGTGACAGAGAACATCCGGACTCATCACAGACCGTGACAGAGAACATCCGGACTCATCACAGACCGTGGCAGAGAACCCGGGTACCCATCACAGGCAGTGACAGGGAATCCGGGTACCCATCACAGGCTGTGACACAGAAACTGTAGTTGTAAAGTATCAGATATACGGTCAGCTACAAATGTGTCGTAAGGAAATGGAACAAAAGGATTTCTATTTAATTCGTAACAATAGGTCCATCGTGTTTCACATTTTTAACCTCGCAAGGGATTGCGCTAACAGCTTTTTATTCGTCTCAGAAAATTTTAACGTTCAAAATTAATGTGAAACCGAAAATCAGGTCAACCATAGATATTAATCGTCATTGTTAATTTCCAATTTTGATTGCATAAATAGCTGTTGAACCAGTACCATCTTGATGAAAAACGATATCATTCGTTCCTCGACCATAAAGAAGATATTGTTGTTCTATTACGTCTCCTTTATTTAATTTACCGATCCAAAATCCACAAGTATTAGAATCCATTGTCTCAAAAGTTGGATATTTATGAGGAAAAGAACCAAACGCAGTAAATAACTGCTCATTTGCTACAGTATTTGTAATTCTCATTGCCCACCAGTCGTCCTGGCTATTAGTATAACCGGAGAATCTGCCTTGTGCAACAACAAGATATGTTCCATCACTTTCAATTTTCAATTTATAATATTCAGTATTGTTGGCTGGTGTCACATATCTTGTACGAACAAAAGGCAAATGACTTACTACAACACGCTCCCCAGTTGTTTGGCCAGTCCATGCTAAGGTTGGCGTTTGTACCTTACTTTGTAAAGTTCCTAGTTCCCTTGTTAGTTGATTGACGTTGTTAATGCTGCTATTCAGCTGCCTTTCCAGTGCCTCAGTTTTGTTCTGGCTCAATTTTAACTTTTCTTGTAGCATTGTGTTAGAAGTCTCAAGTTGATTAACACGTTGTTTAAGAGCACTAAATTCGGTGAAGAAAAATTGTAAATGTTGAAATGTAATACCGTTCACAGTATCAAGATCAGTGAAAAGATCACCAAGATCAATTGATTCAATCACAATGCATGTACAGTAGAGAATGAAAACAATCACAAGCACCTTCATTCTTTCCATTTTCAGTGAAAGTGAAGAAGACACACAAAAAATATATATTTTTATTCCCATACTTTCCATCTGACATGCTTCTCATAGTGCGTCCCGTTTTAAATGAGAAGAAAGATAGAGTTATCACGATCACAATTTCGTCCTTGCTACAATAATCTTTCGGGTGATTTAAATCTTAGACGGGTTCTGTAGGATCCTGAACAGGTTATTTCGTATCGGTGTGGGTGGGGAAACATATGTAGCGGTGTAGGTGTGAGTGCGGATGTTGGTGGTCTATTCACTCATGCCCACACCCACACTTACTCCGACGCCCATACCCACACCCTGCATACATACCTATGCCCTACCCAAACTAACGCCCATCCACACTCTGTTTCAGCGTCGATCTTGTGTGCCATTATGTTTTGTTATTGGCATTAAGGGTACGGGTGTTGCTCTCTTCTTACACTTACACTCACCCACACCCACACACCTGCACCCCACACCCACACCGACACCCACCCACACCACGCCAAACGACTCCTTTTACTGAGTCAAGCTTGAATAATGCTGTAATAAATGCTTGCAAGTACTTAAACCACTG